CTTTGAGGATTTTGTAAAGTCTTGTTTTTCTAATTCTCTTATTAACAAAGAGTTACATTGGTTCCATATAAACCTTACTTCCTCCAAATATCTGTTGTATGTTCATACAAGATACAAGCTCTTCTCATATTAACAAAGAGTTACATTAGTTCCATATAAACCTTACTTCTTCCAAATATCTCAGCCTTACGTTTGATGATGCTGACCCTATGATTTATGCATATAATATTTGTCTGTATATCGTAGCTTACATTTTTTTGAATTTTGTAGAGAGAGGATTGCTAATCATTTGAAGGATGGAGTCTCATTAGAAACGAGTATTCACATAAAAACAAAAAAACTTCATAATAAAAAAGAAGAGCACGAGATGTTTTGTTGTTTTTTGTTTTTTTTTCACTTTCTCGCTCAATCTGCATCAAGTCAAATCAAATTAACTGTCAGGTTTTTAATCATTTGCTGTTTTCTCATTTTATTACCGTCACTTCTGCAACTCTTTTCCGTATGGACAACTCTCTTTTTCCAGTCAAACTTTTGTTCAAAAAAGTACTAAAAACAATCAAAGGTATCATCTACCTGTACAATAGTACAATTCTATCTGGTAATAACATCATATGTCTTGTTGTATATTTATATAATTTTATTTGTTTTCTTCACATTTCAACTTTGATACAACGGCTTCATTCTGTAAGCATCGTATTAACTTCACATTAATTTTAAATCTTTACAATTAGTTATTAATAAAAATAATAAAGACAACTGGTTATACAGTTTTTGATAAAACCAATAAAAATTAAATTTTAAGACAACAAATATTGTTATAACATCTTAAATTTAAAATGGAGGAAGTATGTTCTTATATTTGATATACTTTGATTTTTTCTTTCACATTTCAACTTTAGCACAAGGGTTTGATTTTTTAAGCATCATATTAAACTTCATATTTGAACTTTGGTAACACCAACACAGATATTTTATAATACCATAAAACAATTTTAAAACAGAGCAGATTAACACATTCTGATTCATCTAAAAAAGCCTAAAACCTTTGTGTATGTTTTCCTTTTTTTACCTGTGGCTACAGAAAGCCAAAAGCATTTTTCTACCATCAACAATCTCATCAAAGAAATCATCAATCTGAGACACAACACTCTCTGTTCCATTCCTCAAACTCCCAACACTCACTCTCACACTCTCCACTCTCTCTCTCAACCCTCTCTCCGCCGCCTCCTCCTCCTCCACTCTCCCACCGCCGCACCACCGCCTCTCAAGCTCAGTCTTAAGCTCCTCCACCGCCGTCTTGCTCCTCCTGTACTCATACATCATAACCCCTTTCTTCACCCCTGTCCTCTCCATCTCCGCCGCCACTCTCTGCTTCAGCCTCACCATCGCCGTCGCCGTCATCGTCACCGTCGCCGCCGTGTCCCCCGCCGGGATAGAGTAAACGAGTCCTTGCGTTAAGATCACGAGAAACAGAGTGTTTATGTTCTTCATCGTGTTCATCACTCCTCTGAACCCGCTGAAACCGTTCTGTATCTTCGACGACTCCATCGTCGTTGTAACTTGCTCCGACCAAAAGGGAAACCTTTGGACACGGTTCTCCATTAATGCTCTGTTCTCTTCCTCTATCCCCACCGCTTCTCTCCGACATACAGTTATCGCTCGCATCACCTGTATCCATTTAAAGTTTCAAACTTTATTCGAAAACATTAAATCTTTTAACAAAAAAATATTTTTTTTAAAAAAATATTAAAAATTTGTAAACAAACCTGACGGTGGTTGTTGTGGTGGTAGGCGTCGAGAGTGGAGGTTACGGAAATGGCGGCGGAGCAGAAGGTTTCCATGGAGGAGAGAGAGGATTTGATGACGTGGCATACGTCCCAAAGCTTGGAGGTTTCGTCCATGTAGTCGTCGAGCCACTTGTCGCCGACAGGGAGGTTGAGTTTTTGGACAAGAAGTGTGAGGTGAGAGTGAGAGGTTCTTAGGAGACAGATCACTCTCTGTAGGAACTGAAGAGACATGAAGTTGTTGGAGAGATAAACCCTTTCGAGATCTTCCATTGATTTGTTAAGAAAGGTGTGGAATCCGTTTACTGAGTTTGTACAAGAAGAATCCATTTTGTTGATGAAAACAGAGAGCTCTATAAAGATTTTTTTTTTTTTTTTTGAGTGTGTGGTGTTGACTCTATGGAGGGAAAATTAGGAAGGAGAGAGTTTAAAGGTTATAATGAGATTGGATGTGTGTTTGTGTCTGAATGTATGTATAGATTATAAAGAGAGTGAGAGAAAGAGAATAAGAAGAAGAAGAATCAGAGATTTTGTAAGGATGAAAGTGATTGTTTGGAGCAATGATGGTTTGTTTCCTATAGAGGAGGAAGTGGATGATTGGTATTTGGTAATAATACCAAAATATATTTATTTCTCTGTGTTTTTTTTCCACTAAATTTTGTTATGGAAAGAAGAATCAAATTAAAATTGAAATCTGACAAAGTACAAAATAAGAGGCATATAAAGATTTCTTGGAAGAGAAAAAGAGAGTAATTAACAAATAGTGGTCGGTAAAAATACTAATTTGAGGAAAACATAAGTTAATCTGTTCTAAATTCAATTTATATATTAGAAATAAAGTTGATATTATTTGGTTATAGACAATATAAGATTATGCTTTAAACTTCATTTAAAAAACCATGAAAGGATTAGTGGTTAGTTTTGTTTTCTTGGAAGAATTAGTTAGACTTTGGGCATAATTTTCCATGTAATCCATAAATTTTTGTCATCTATAATCTGAGACATAAATACAATCTGAATAAAATTAGTCTTTCTAGAAGCGGCTCATTAGCTTGATTCTTTGTTCGAATAAAATCTCTAGTAATTGATGGTTAATATAAAAGGGTAAATATAATAATGATCATGTTTCAGTACACAATAATCGAATAGTTAGTGAATTAGTATAAGAGCTAGCGTCTTCTACGAGGGCATCTAATACCATTTCATGCTTTACTAGTTATGCACTAAGTTCATTGATTACAAAGCAAAGTTTTTTTATCTGGTACAAATACAATAATATATTGTCTGGTAAACATAATAATGTGTACATCCCTCACAATACTTGCTTATTCAATGGTTGTACAGTGCTGGTAGATGATTCTATATCTTTTTGTTAACTCGGAAGAGTTTGAATATAGACACTAGTTTAACATACAACATGACGTACCTTTGTTCTTCACTACTAGTCCATCTCATCTGGTGGTTTATTCTTTCTAGTTTCATGCCTTTTATTTTGAAATTCTTACTTTATAATATACCATTACGTAATACAAATCTAACAAAGTAAACATGATTAGTCATCGGATACAACGATACTTTATATCAATAAGATAATGGCCCAACGGATCGAGATAGGTCATTGTTATAACAATTAGATTCGAGCATACTAACAATAATGTAGTGTAGCTAACGTATACAAAGGATGAAATCAAGTTCGTACCTCCAAAGTGGCATTTCGGACCCATAGAACGGCGGATACCAAGAAAAGAAATACTATATAACATTCAGTTGACGAAGTTGAATACTTAATAAAACATTTAAGCAGATAAGATAAAAATTAATTAAATGCAAAAGAGTTATAGATGTTGCAAGCTAAGCAGTACATATGTTGCTTTATTCCCGTTATCAAGCCGGCGCATATTCTATACTCATCTGTATTTCTTTAATTCCATTCGTACACTCTTTCCAAACCACCAATAAATATCAATAGTATTGCAATTATGATTTTGGTTAGGATGATATAATATAAGTAGTCTTTCTGTTAATTGTGAAATAAGTATCTTCATATCGTGAAAGGGAAACCATAGGGGCTAAATCTTTATCAAATTTGTCCAACAAATTTTAAACGTATATATATAAACCAGAAATTATCCTGATGTGTACCATATGGAATCGACAGTAAGAAAAAGTGCTAAACGATGATGTATCATGTATCAACATTATTGTTCTTCCTTTCTACTTTTCACTGATTATTATAAATTGAATTTAATTTCTAACTACTTAATATATGATATATGCGAACCATTGATCAAATAGCTATATACTTAAAGCGTGAGAAAAGTTACATTTGAATAATCACTTAAGAAAAATGAAAATGGATACCATCTAATCAATCAGGAGAATACCATTACAGCTGCAGTAAAGATAAAATTATATTTGAAAGGGTCAAAGAATTAGTTTCCCACAAAAACTATCATAATATCAGATATTCATTGAACTATGACCTCGTGCCACATCTTCCTAAATCAAAAATTACACGTTTATTTATCCCCAATCGATAGTTCAAGATTTAATTACCCATATACTATAATTTTTATTAGTTTATTGTTAACTCTACAACTTAAACTAATTAAACAAATCAATAATTGAATTGTTCTAAAAAAATTATGCTCATACACTATTCAAACTTCACAATATCACTATCATAAAAAAAAAATTAAAAATTTCATATTTGAAAAAATTTAAAACATTATAAAATTAAATTTTTGTTTGGTTTTAAAATTGTTTGATTAAATAAACCGATTAAACCATTGTTTATGTGTAATTAAGTTCCAAACTATTAATTTGGAGAGAAATAGATTTCAAGCTATAGATTTGAAAAGAAATAAGTTTATAATTTATAATTTGAAATGATATGACACGACGTGATAGTCTAAAGGATATTTAATGATATATATGATAGTTTTCGTAGAGAAATAGTAAGTTTACCCTATTTGAATAAATGAAACAAGAATATAGAATTATTTGGTCAACAATTAGTGATTACATGTTGTAGATTTGTACATGTTGTAGATTTGTACATGTATAATGTATTAAACATAGCATGTATTTGTGGATGTGTGTACACATCAAAACTAATGGGACCATCAGATCTAATGGAAGCGTTGGGCGACTCAATAATCTCTGATTACTCTTGTTTTTTTCTTCATTTCTTTTATACAATTCTGTCACATTTTTAATATATAATTGTTTTTTCCACAATTTATCTGTTATAGACGTGAAAGACAAACTTACTAATATTATTTTGTTTTCTTCTCTTTTATGGAAAATCGAAATAGACAAAATGAACACTATTCAGCAATAAATTCAAAACTCAATATATCAAAAGTAAAATCCAAGGAAAGTTCAGGAACAATCTAGAAGATGATATATTATTGGTGGGAAGACTTGTATATAATGATAGATAATATAATAATGTTCTTGATAGAATGAAAATGTTACAATATAGATGTATGTATGTTTAAGTATATGAGTGTATAACTATCGACACAGCCTTAGAGAGCAATTACTAAGTAGCAGAAGAGTAGATTTGCGAGAATGTTTCATTTTCTCAGTTATGGACTAAGAGAAGGAAACAACTGTTTTGGGTCCATACATGCTCTTCGCTTTCCGTCTACCATTTTGAAATGGATCGTCCAGTTTCTCCACTTAGTTGTCCCATTAATTCCTGTTGAGAATGATTATTCTATGATTTATTGGGTTGAGTTTTTATATAGTTACAGATTTATTGCTAGATGTAAATGTTTAAAATTCTGAACTCTAAAGATAACTGTTTTGAAAAGAAAAGTAGGAAAATGAAAGACTATTAGTCTTTGTTGTTGTAGAGTCGTCTTTTGTTAAAACTCGATTGAGAACACAATAATATGATAAAACCGGTAAGTGTTATAAAACCTTTAATTGTGCTATGCCCGTTTTACCTAAACCACAAGGCAGAAGCTATAATGGCCACACTATTTATTAAGCAAGGTCAAAAGAACCTTTAACAAATGTCACAAATCAAGTAAGGTGAATAGAAAGGCGATTAAATTAATAACATACTCCATAAACACTCCTTGATCACTAATCCTCTAATCAGACGGTGGAGATAAAGAGAAGAGTTGATTGTTTAGAGGGTCAAGAGCCGCCACTTAGGAGTAATTAGTTTGCCTAATTATATATTTTTGTTTAATGAAAAAGTAAAAGTCATCAGAGCCGAAATTAGGATGCAAAGGTATATGCTATTTGAACGTTAAATGGTAGAGATCTGTGGTTGTGATATTCCATTTTTCGTGTATATCATTGATGCACAATAAATTATAGTTTTTAATATATTTATAATGTGGTCCAAATTATCGATATCAAAGATTAATATAGTGAGAAGAACTAAAAGAAAGAATGATTGAGAAGGAGCGTTATACATTATAAACATGACAACATTGACAAGTACTTTATGTATATGTATATATACATGTAAATACGAGGAACAAATAAATTTAGAATTTTGTTTCAAAAATGTAAGATTTTTTACTGTTTTTTGCTTTGCGTAAATACTTAAACTCTGGAACAAGAAGAGTTCCAAAACTCTTCCTTCACCCTTCGTCAGATTTCGTGAGTAACCTTCCTCCATCTTCGTTCTCGCCTGACGGTGAGCGCCAGCCCCTGGTTTCTCCTTCTGGAGCAGGGATGGAGGCTCCGTTGACCCCCTCGTCTCCAATTTCGCCCCCGTTGAAAGTTGTGGACTCTTGGGTTTCGAAGGTTAAGGCAATCTATCAACCGCTGGCGAAAGTGGCTTCTCCAACAATTACTTCCGATGGGGTTCCGTCTATTCGAGCTCCAGACTCTATAACTCTTGTCTCCTCTACGATTTGGAAAGATCATCTGGTAGCTTATTTTCATGGTCGTCCTCCATCTCCGGCGAAGGTCTTTGCGGACTTGAATCCTATTTGGGGAAAGAATGGCAACATTTCGGTTAAGCTCCATTCCAAGCGATCTCTTTTACTCTTCATTCCATGTTCAGCCACTCGACAATGGGTTTTAGATGTGGGTCTTTGGCATTCCGGCAACTGTTCTTTCACTACTATGCTATGGCATCCATCTCTCAATTTGACGGAAATGAAACTTGTTCATGCTCCTATATGGGTTCTCTTCAGAAAGGTCCCCTTCGAATTATGGTCCACACTCGGTTTTAGTACTATGGCTTCAGCAGTGGGTTTTCCGGTCCACTCAGAATTCCTAGATGTAAAGCCTTATTCAACCGGTGTTATCAAGCTTCGGGTTGTTATAGAGTTAGATAAACCCCGGCCTTCTTTTGTTCGTGTGGTTGACAAGCTGGGAAACTCTGTCTCTCTTCCAGTGGAATTCTTAAAATTGCCTCCTAAGTGTGGTAGTTGCAACGAGTATGGCCATCTTCGTCTTCGCTGTCCTCATCCTGTGCAACATAAG